GGTCAATAGCGCTCAGGTCGGGTTCGTTCACAAATGTTTCGTGCTCAGTTTCCGGACACAAAGGTCACTGACAGCTTGGGGGGCAAGATTGCTGCAAGCTGTCATGCGGAGGAACCGTTTCATCATTGCGCGGGGAATGGTAACCAATCGGAATTCTTCCATTGGTTTCCAGCATATCGCCGGTCGCCCCGGTGGTCTAGTTGGTAGCCTCGTAACCTTCTAGAGGTCAGGTCAGGGGTTCGAATCCCGGCGTAGGCGAGCTTTTCTTGCAAAGTGAGTTTTTCTCTCGTTTCCGCTCCCGGCCAAGTGGATAGCTCTAGTTCGTGTGTACACAGAGGGAAGAGAGTGCTGAACTCTTCTCGCATTAAAAATTGAAGGCGAAGTACCGCAGGAGGGGAGGGTAGAGAGAGGCTCTTCTGTGTGACCACGGGTTGGAATAAACGGCACTGTAGTGCTGTGAGCGAAGAACAAAAAAAAATAAATATATATATTAGCCCGAGAGACTGTTACATCTTCTCGGGAAACCCCCCTCCGAGCACTTATGCAGTGCCCATCACAGGGACGAGCGCTCCGGGCACTTGTGTCTTGCGTCACAAGTGTCTTGTGTCTTGCGTCACAAGTGTCCATCATCGCACTATTTAGAACCGGTGTACGCGGCCGTCCGGAACAGTTTGTCCATACTTTGTGCTTGGAGACATGCTTACGTGTCGCATACGAGTAGGATGGACCCGTACTTTCCAGCAAAAAATCAGCCCTCCCTGTTGAATTCCCGCGTTACCTTTATGGGGGCGATTGAGGTTGCTCGTCTCTCTCAAGATTAAAACGTACGGGGAGAGTGTGAACCGAGAAGAACTACATATGCATGTACACAGACGGGATTTGAGTGAAGTGTTTTTTCTCGTAACACCAACTCTCTCCAATTGTGAAGGCCACAAGCGACCTCGCCCGCACATTCGCTACCCTTCCCTCCGAAAACACGTGGATACGTCCCTTCTTGCGCGTGTCCTTTCTCCTCATCGCTCCCAACGCAAAGGAAGGGCGAGCGTTAATATTGACTCAGCTGTGTCCCGACGGTCCTAACCCGGTTCTAGCCCAGACCATGCTCTGCACCAATACCAGGCGATCGACGACGACAGTTGCGGCATGTCCCTCCGCAGACTTGAGTTGATCATCCGGGCCATCTGGCCGGTATACGCTTCCGTATGCCACTCTACTTGGGGGGCCGGCTGTGGCAAGCAGTTCGAGGTAGCCAGCGAGAAGCTCCTCGACCGCCGTCCATTGCTTCTGCGGAGCGCAAAATAGACTGTCGGATATCCCTATACCCCGACAAGATCATCATGCCCCTCCCTCGATGTCTGGGGTCCGCCGTTGCTGTCGAACTTGAACCAAGTTGGACAGGACCTCTGGAATGAATGAAAGAGCGTACGACATCTCACGAATTGGCTCGCACTCGAAGTTGAGTCATCTGCAGGTGTAGTCCTGACCAACAATTTCCCTTGTTCGTGCCGAGGCCTGGAGCAGTCCCTTACCGGACGATCAGCATCCTCTTCGAGCCTGGTTCATTTTTGCCAAAATGCAGCGGGTGTCATCCGGCCTACCAATGCCAAACGGCTCTTGAGCGGTCGGGTGCCTTGTCCTGCGTTGCTCGGGATGCCCGGCGTGCAAAACAAGAACCCCGTCTATTTTGTTCCGCTGGCCCAACCACAAGACAGTGACCAATGTCCCCCGGGCTCGATTTTCTGTTTCCTTGTTCTTGGCCCGACTCTATCTTGGAGAACTCTGCGGGGTCTTTGTTTCACGCAAAAAACGTTTTTTCGACCACCGGGGTGTGTTCTCGACCGATGTGACGGTAAGTCGTCACCTACGTGTCGCCACGCCAGCTCGCGGGTCCAACCACCCCACTTCCCAGGTCGACGAAAGCAGGTAGAAACAGGTTCCTGGGGGCATTCAGAGACACGACCATTCCAAACAAGGGAAAGGCGCCAAAGTTCCCCCTGAAACCCCCAATATAGTCGGAGTGCAAGATGTCCTTCGTTTTGATAGAATTTGCGCTGTAGTAGAGTGTGACGGTCATGTCCTGCCCCCAGGCGCAGCCTTACTCCCTGGGTCAGCGGCCTGTTTCAACCGATCGCTTTAGACCACAGTGGCCGTGGCAACGCAATGCTTCATTTTGACCAGCTCTTCATGCCCGTTCTCTTCCGCTTCATGCTATACCTACCACCGAACGACGTCTAGGAAGACATCTAGCAAGACCAGACTTCGAGACTTCAGGGGCGCAAGCCTCGCCGAAAAAGGGAGATACGACGATCCCAGCAGCTGTACGGAAGAGGATGAAGCTTTGGTATACCCATGCGGTAAGGCATGTTTCGTAAGAACGAACTGTTATGACATGGCTGAAACGGAGACTGGAACGAAGGTCGTGAGAATTGAATCGCCCACTGGTTCATCTCTTGAAGACTGGAATGCTTGGCGTACCCGCCCCCGGCAATGTAAACGCCAAACTCGCCTCGGAAGCAGCGCTTGCTTCGTCTGAAAACGCTCCAATCTACTTTGCCGCCGTTATCGAGAGCGTACCACGCATTGCTGCGTCCTACAGACCTTGACACACACCAATCCACCCCCACGCATAGACCTCCTGACTCCGGCCCTATGTCCGACTTCATATTTGCGTAGGTAGTATCCACAAACCCGTGCTTGCTCAATCCTCTCACTACCCCCACCGTGAAATACAATCCCCATCCAACTCGTCCTACGTACCTAGCCATAAATACATATCGGAGATGCACTATACCGCGCCACCCCTCTTGCATTCGCGATTTTGAGACCAACCAGAAACCCTGCCAACTCACGAAAAGGGACACCCTCCAATACTTTTCCGTGATCAAAATCCACAAGTTGTGCGTCAGTAGGGAGCGGAACACCTCTAAACACATACTTGTACGCTCCCTGCAGCTAACGCTTTCGCATATGAGATCTTCCACACCCTTTTCTCTAGATTCATCCCATGAAAACACGCCGAATACCATATCAACTAGCCAAGATTCTCCACGGAGACCATCTCACTAAGGAACAGGTCACACCTTTCCTTCTCTCCGAAACAAATATGTGATCCACGTGGATCACCATCGCCACCACCACACGTTTCTCCTCCACACAACCGAAAAACACATGCGTCCGCTACTAAGACCAGTAGACTAGTCAGGTGTGCATGCCATTGCCATGATACCTGCCTCAAGCCATGCCAGACATACAGCTTCACAAGCGTGCCAGACACTCTACCACAACCCTGCGGTGCACGCACGTGAACATCCTCATCAATACCAGACCGCACAAAAGCCTGCAGAACATCAAAAGTGGCCAAGTCAAGAATCCTCCATGAAGAACGCCAAAGCCGCAAACAAGCGTACACTGTAACGCAGCGACGGTGGGCGCAGGCAATTGTCCAAGATGAAACGAAACTCCCTGCACGCCCCCCTGCGCTATAAGTCGTGACTTGAATTCCGTCGGCCAACAGTCCTCATCTACTTTACACTCAACAGCCCACTAATTGCTGCAAAGGCTCACCATTCCCGCATCCAACAACTCATAATATTCTCGAACAACCGATCACGCTAGCATGACCGGTAGGTTGGATAGGCCAAGGCTTGTCGGTATGTAGAAAAGGCAGCTCCGCCAAGACGGGCCAAGATAGGCATGCCTGGTGTACTATGTATCTTGTTGTGGTGGACAGCACCACGACATTCCGTGTCTTCACGTGCATCGTCAGTCCACGAAATGGAACTCCGCCAGACCAAGATACCCCGAGGTAAAAAGTACGTAGGAACTTCCTATTACACCCCATGTTCTTCCAGCATCCTATGCTACGAGAATATCCACACACGACACCGTTTCCAGCAAGCCTAAGAGCTTCGGTGCGACGCGGGGGGGGGTGATTCTGCGTATGCATCACACTTGAACCTCAGTACCTTGCAACTCTCTGTTCCCTGTACTGCTCGTTTGGGGGGCAAGCCCGCCAAGCAATACGTCTTCTAGCAGAAGTATGGGTTAGACATGGTCGTTCCGTACCCCGACACCAAGCCTTGAGACACCAGTTTACCAGCTTGGAGCTAGCACATTCTGGTATTACTCCCTCACGCCGTCACTCCGACACCGGCCCGGATCTACATGCACAGAGGATGCACCCATGAGTTCCATGAGTTCCTTGTCACCTTGAGCGGCTTGAGCCAGCTCTTTCCCTAACGTTTCGGCATGTTGTCGGCGAACGGCAACAGTCAGTGTCATCGTCGAGTGGACGTCCATAGTGAAGAGGTGAACCTTTGTCGTCGTGACCGAGGCAAATAGACCATAATGAGGTCGGGCGGGCGCCTGAATGTCAGAGGTCTAGACGACGGTGACGACAATGAGCCCACACAGTCGAACCGGGTGTATGTCGTGGTGCAGGGGGGGTCATTTTGTCTGTATTTGCATCGACGCCACGCTATGGGACGCCTTTCGTGGACACCTGCGATGTTTTGAATGGATGTTGCTTGCCAGAATGTGTGACACTCAGACTAAACCTCTCACACACCCTACCAAGGAGCAACTCACGGTTCTCGAGAGCCACGTGTTTCATGAATCTGGACCATAGATTGTGCTCGAGCATCCGCACGATGTCGTCGAGCGGCTCCTTGAAAAAGCTCGCCCTTTCGTGTACGGCGAGCTGATTGATCGAACTCTTCCCTGCAGGTTTCGGTTGCTTTCAGAGGCGTGCTCGAAAAACTAAAACCCAACCACGTGTACCCCAATCCTCAGTGCTTGCCCACCAGGGAACGAACGAAGCGGGTGCGATACAGCGCACAGCAATGATCCTAACGAGCAGGACTGACGAGACCGTGATAGTCAGCGGTGACATCAGTCCACTCGCTGTGCTTGTTGGGCAACTGCATACCATGCCAAAACACAGCGCTGAGTTCCGACCATGTACGTGAGACCATGTACGTGAGGAGCTCGTAAACCACCTACTACCTTGTTCTGAAAGCAGCCATGTGCTTCCTGGTGGCCCCGGCGATGTTGACCTCATCTGGAGATGTGGCCAGCAAGTACCGGTCTGAGATCATGGTAAAGGCCATGAACTGCTCGTCTGCGTGAGTGGTGTCCTGAAGCACAAAATACAAGGCGAACACAGCAGTGAGTTGGCCGATTCAATCACAGTATTGGATGTCGTGTGCATCACAAGCATGTGATCCAGAACATCAGTGATGTCCAAACAAAGAATACTTAGCAGGCTCTCACCATCATCTCGTAGAGGGCCCTATCTATAAGAAAGTCCCAGCTTTCCAGGCATAGGTTCATCTTGCAGTAATGTTCGAAGCGCTTGCTCATATCTCCGCCTTCGCGCACGAGCGCCAGCACGCCTTCCACACCCGGCATTTTGACCGAGAAAGTACCGCCCTCGACGGGTACAACAGCGCTCCGAAAGAATCCCGTACACTCACCACGATGCGCTCTCAGCGTAGGTATGAGTAAGCTATATTTTTTGCGATGGCGATAGAGTCATGCGGTGTAGAGCAAAGGTGGTCAGGTGAAGGAAAACATGAACGGGCCTACAGGCATATCCTACCACGAGCTGTTTCGCTTTAGATACTGATTCTTCCCGGTAAGCAAGCCTCTATTAACCCTTGAAAATGGTTGGTTCTAGCCAAGCCTAGACATGGCCCCCGGCGGTATTGCTACATGCGAAAATTTGTGCACGATTTTATGCAGCGGACATTCAGTTAGAAAACCCACATTGTGTATGGATGGCTCTGCTTGATGCCTCGCACTACTTGATTCAATCCTTTGATGGACTGTAAAAGACGCCCCGCAAACAATCTAGCATCCAATAGGTCTCTAGAGACCATTCCCGTTACATGTAGATAGTGTCGGAGCTATTGGCGTTCATCATCGGGTGGAAATTTAGCGCGTTCATAGAACGACGTTTCTGCAAGAGTTCCAAAAAACAGCTAGAAAACCCATGTTTAGGAAATGTTTTTGAGGCGGGGAGGAGCTCCGTGCGCGCCTCTGATTCTCCTCACCTAGACGGCCACAATCAAATATTGTTTCTGCATCCCGTTCTTGGTCTCAACCACCAATGTACATAGTCAGCGATTATGTCCACAACGCGGCTGCACTTGCATCCTATTGTAGCTCGGCGGTACAAATGGCTGCCGTGCTGGCATACTCAGACTCAACACGGAAATTCCGTGAGAAATCAAACATGACCGCAACGGTGACGCCAAGTTCTACCTGGATAAACTGTCCTGGACGGACCATTGCATCCACTGAGACCTAGCGTTCCATATCAAACCTACAATACTTGTTTGCCACAAAACTGTTACGCTGCACGTTAACACGACAGGCGCAGTAAAACCGCTGCTGGCGGCGTCCCAAATCAGCACCACCGGCCCCCGGAAAAGCACTGCTTCGGGACTGCTTCGGATTTCTTACCCCCAAACTCCGGAGTTGATCCCGTACACGAGGGCACACACTTCGACCGCGACGTGGACCTCAGGTGCATCTCTTAAGACCTTGAACTTGACAAGCAACTGAGTAGACCACGACAGTGCTGGGGATTGGGCAGCGATGCAGCGGCCGAATAAGTGAACTGTAGAACACGAAACTTCGAGCATCTGTCTGGCAGCGAAAATCATCTACTCAAACAACATGTTCCGTTTTGCCCTTCAGAACTACAGGTGAACCCACAGAATGAGAAGTAAGCGAGAGCAACTTAAGGATATCAGTGTCTTGGTGAACCACAGGCGCTTCAATATGGGATGCTTGGTTTCATGTCCACGGAGGTTCTTTGCATGGCAGAGTGCACTTCTCTTTGGCTTTAGCCCGCAGCACAGTTCTGCGTCGATCAGTAGCAGTGACACCGGTGGTAGGGTCTGGCTTACCTCCAATGAACGAACAGCCCACAATTACTCTTGTAAGTTCTTCGTTTAATTTAAACACGTCATGAACGCGAGAAAGGTTCCAAACGAGAGCCATTGCAGGCGCAGTAGCAACAACCATGAGAACCGCCACTAGCTGGTGTCGTCGTAGTAGAAGCAGTCGCGCGCGTTGCTGTGCAGCATAGTTTCGTTAGCAGACGGTAAGCATGACGGACGTTAAGACCTGCACGAAGCGCCACATGTGTGCACTATGTGAGCGAAACGTGAATGCGTCTCGCCTGTTTGGGTAGGTTGCGTCCACGTGGGTTAACCGGACATTCAGTCTGCTCCTCCGGTGAACTGGATAAACTACACACAACTGGTACTGTCTCAGCTGGCTAGTTGAGGAGTTGGGATATGCCAACAGGTTCGATTCGAATTCGTACACCGACGAATCAGAACGCACCGCCACCTACGAACCGCTTGTGTTGCGCGAGCCTCGACGCTTATTGCTTGCCTCAAACCGAGCCCATGTTCATACTTTCCAAGTTCATGTTTGGAGCAGAAATCTATCTAGGATAAACGGGTTCTTGTTCTTCTTTTTCTATGCCGGCTGCCTCATGCAGAGGACACAACAGAGATCTTTCTGGGTGGATTCAACGTGCCCCTAAGAGTACAATAGCGTGTCTAACACCAGCAATATCGAAAAACAGGAAGGTTTGTTCGTCGAAGCAGATAGAATAAACTGGTGTTTATTTTGTAACAGTCGAATTAGAATTTGGCTTCATTTTCTACCGGAAACCCAGGGTCACGGTGTTTGGAATTATTAGTCTATAGTTGGGGGTGTCATTCCGTGATCGAGTCCACGCAGGGGCTGTAGCAAAGTCGGGTAACGTGTGACAGCTACAGAGCGCGTGAAGCAACGGAAGGACAGCTGCAGCGGAAGCGCGATGAGGCTGCCGGCGATCGCCAGCAGCTTCAAGCAACGATCGACGACCTGATCGCCACCCAAGCAGCAGGACCTGGCCTTCCGGGGGGGGGTGCAACTTGTGGGCACAACCGCCCCACCATCGGCCTCTCGGGCCCCCGCTACACCCAGCGCCGAGGCGGCTAAGGCTACGGCAAAGGATAGAGCGCGGATGTGGGGGGACCTCCGCCGGGTAAAAGCGTGGCTCATCCTGGGGCGGCCCCGGCAGTTTCAAAACTGTCGCAGATGGAGTGGCAATCCTTGCTTCGCAAAGGCGTCCTGGTGACAGAGAAAGTGGCGGCATCGCTCGACACGCTCGTGGTTACTGCTTCGCCTTCAACTCGTCGTCCGGTTGCCATGATCGTAACTGCCCACACATCCACGCCCAGAACCCTTCCCACGCTAGGCGCGGAGCGTCCGAAACTCCGGCAACCGGCGCGCGCGGCGTTGGCCACGGCAACGGGGGAGGGCGCGGAGGAGAGGCGCGCGCCGCTGGCGAGGGCGGCGCGAGACCCAAGGCCGCTGGCTTCTTCACCCACGGGAAAGACAAATAGGGGTGCGGGCTCTCCCGCGTAGCGGGGGGGCCTACCTCGGATGGCAGCGCACCTGCGGCTAAATCGAACGGCAGCACGCCGGTCTACACGAGGTTGGCTCCAGGGCTATCAGCAGGTTCAGGACCTGGGACAGGCAGGACGGGACTTTGTTACCGACGTCTTGGCATGCAGCTCGTCGAGCACTCAGTTGCGTCTTCGTCTAGAAGGACTTACACGTCAGGCTTCAACTCTTGGTGCACGTTTCGCAGGCTGACGGAGAAGCCCAAGTTCCTAGGGCAACGTGCCGGGGACCTTCATGTGTGGGAGTTGATTAGACTTCGTAGCCTGGTGTTTCGAGTCTGAGGGTAATCTAGCGAGTACAATATCCGGAAAACTCACGGCTGTACAACATTTTCATAGGCTGGAAGCTTCTGTCGAGCTAGACTTGTCGTCTCCGATGTTGAAATGTGCGCTAAGGGGGATTGCGAGGAACCACGTGGCTGTGGGGACGGTACGCCGTGTGCGCCTGCCTGTGTCTTGGCGTATGCTGCTGGACGGGGAAAGCGCAAGCCAGAACTGGGGGGAAGGGGGCAGAGTGATGTGGCTGTGTCTGTGCTTGTCCTATCTCTTTATCACACGGTCTGATGAGGTGTTCGCGAATGATGCGGGCAGGGTGCATGAGGCACACTGTCTTACGAGGGCGGACGTAGCATTGTTTGCTGGCGAGACGCAATTAGTCTTTAGTCACTATCGTAGAGCAGACCGTGTCGAAATGAGGTTTAGAGGGCACAAGGCCGATCAAGAGCAGAAAGGAAACATACGGGTTCGTACGCGAGACGAAGTCACCGGACCGCAGTCAGGTGTGAGAGCACGCGGTGGCGCGGTGGCTCTTGTGGTGGAGCTGTTATCGTGTCATGCGACGTTCCCTGACTCCGCACCGTTGGCTTCGTACCGTAGTGGAAGAGCAGTGAGAGTAGTGAGGTATACTGCTGCCCTCCGTGCACTCAGAGAAGTGGTAGCGAGGTCGGGGCGTAACCCCCAGGAGTACGCGTTGCACTCGTTGCGAATTGGAGGCGCGACGGCTCTTGCATCGGGCGGAGACATCGCAGAACGAGTGATTCAGAGAGAAGGGAAGTGGAGGTCGGATGCATACAAGCCGTACGCGCGAAACAATGTAGAGGATTCGCGGCGAGTGTCACGGAAACTTACAGACGGCAGTAGGATCGTATCGAGACAGCCGGGGGAGGGGACCGTCTGGGGGAACGGATAGTTGACTTATTCGGTAGTCGTCCAGAAACTGACCTCGATGTGGGTGTTGTAGAATGGTGTGTACCATTTGAGGACTTGGTCAGTTTTGGGACTCCTGCGTTTGCAGTCGTAGTCCCCCGGCTAGTATTTGTGGGGAGAGAGATGGATTTGTAAGAGTTGACGCCGGCCTTTGCAGCTAACGCGGCCGGAGAGACGATGAGCGTTTCGTGCGTCTCTCTCCCCAACACGTAGCCTAGAAACCGAAGAAATAATGAAGCAATTCGAAAGAAAACAAAATAAAAGGAAGGTTTGTTCGTCGAAGCAGATAGAATAAACTGGTGTTTATTTTGTAACAGTCGAATTAGAATTTGGCTTCATTTTCTACCGGAAACCCAGGGTCACGGTGTTTGGAATTATTAGTCTATAGTTGGGGGTGTCATTCCGTGATCGAGTCCACGCAGGGGCTGTAGCAAAGTCGGGTAACGTGTGACAGCTACAGAGCGCGTGAAGCAACGGAAGGACAGCAGCAGCCGCCTAACGCAGTAGCGGCGGCAGTTTAGAAAATCCCGCCCTCCCATCCCTTTTCTTTCGAAGGTGGGGGCATAAGTTCGGGAATATTCGGTATCTAGTCAGGTGTTGTAGAATGGTGTGTACCATTTGAGGACTTGGTCAGTTTTGGGACTCCTGCGTTTGCAGTCGTAGTCCCCCGGCTAGTATTTGTGGGGAGAGAGATGGATTTGTAAGAGTTGACGCCGGCCTTTGCAGCTAACG